AAGTCGGTTCCAACTCATAGCGACCCTATGTACAACAGAACAAAACACTGCCCGGTCCTGCGCTCTCCCCACAATTGTTGTTATGCTTGAGTCCATTGTTGCAGCCACTGTGTCAATCCATCTTGTTAAGGGTCTACCTCTTTTCTGCTGACCATCTACTTTACCAAGCATGATGTCCTTCTCTAGGGACTGGTCCCTCCTGATAACATGTCCAAAGTATGTGAGATGATGTCTCACCATCCTCACTTCTAAGAAGCATTCTGGTTGTACTTCTTCCAAGACAGATTTGTTCGTTCTTCTGGCAGTCCAGGAAGGAGAGGGCACCCCAAAACATCATGCCAGGGAGGGTGTTCAGAAAGACAGGCAGGTGCAGCCCCTCCCCACGGCAACTGGAGCGTGGCCTGGGCAGTGGGGGTGGAGGGGACTCCCAAGCCAGGAACCCCCCTCTCCATCCAACGGCCCTTTCAGCTTATGTCCTAATCAGCCAGGCCAGCCCCATCGTCCCTGCCTCACACACCTCCCCCCCAGCATGGTGACATCCCCTCCCCAGCCCTACCCCAAGCCCCTGGCCAGCCTGGAGTCGCAGAGCTGGTCCAGAGAGCTACATGAAGATGTCCCTTTAGATTGTGGACCATCGGCAATGGCCCTGCTTCCTAATGTAGGCGGAGAATGTAGAGGGATTCAGGCCTGCCCACCGCACCTGCCCACACACCCTCTGCCTGTGCCCGGCTCCTCCTGCTCCCCCACCTCATGTCATCCCCCCTCCCACTTTGCCGCATGGTCCTCCCCTCACACCAGACCATCCCCCCTGCTACTCTGCCTCCCTCTGTAACAAGCCTTCCCAGGACGCAGCCCCTGACTGACTTCATGGCACTCCCTTTCCATAAAGCTCGCTGTCTTTTCCTTCTCTCCTCCATTCTTTCTGGAAACACTTTCAGTGGGGTCTCACCCTCCATGATGTGGGACTGCCTTGTCTGGCCACCTGAGTGCTCCCGTGTCCTGCGGTCGATCCTGATTCCATCATCCCTCATGGGACACTCTTCTTCGGCATCCATGTCTCCCACTCTCCTGTTCTCCCACCATCACCCTTCTGGCCCTCCTCGTCTTCCTGAGCTTCCAGCCGAGGCCCAGGGCTCCCGGGGTGGCCCTCTTCTGTCCCCACTGCCTCCCTCGGGGACCTCATCCAGGCCCTTCCAACTGCAGACTCAGACTTGTAACCACTAAGCAGACACCTATCTTCCTTAGATGTTCAGCAGGTATCACTACAGGCCCCAGGCAGACTCTGCATTTCCCCCACCCTGTGGTCTTCCCATCTCAGCCCAGAGCAACCTCATTCTTCCCGTCATGCTGGCCAGAATTCTTGCAGGCAGGTGTGACCCCCTCTTACTCTCTGTTATTGTGCCCCCTCAAAAAGACATGTTGAACTCCTAACCCCTGTACCTGTGAACGTGAGCTTGTTTGGAAAGAGGGTCTTTGCAGATGTTATCAGTGAACACAAGGTCACACTGGGGTAGGGCAGACCCTAAATCCAATCTGACTGGTGTGCTTCTAAGAAGAGACACCTCTGAGACATAGAGCCACAGAGACACAGAGGGAGGAGGCCATGTGATGATGGAGCCGAGACTGGAGTGATGCCACCAGAAGCTGGGAGACCAGGAAGGATCCTCCCCAGGGTCTCCACAGCAACAAGAGAACACCTTTCTGTTGGTTTAAGCTGCCCCATTTGTGGTCCTTTGTTCAGCAGCCGCAGGACACACACACATTCTCACACCCTGTGATCCGATCCATCCCAGGTCCCATTGGCTCTACCTTCAAAAAGTAAGAGTCTGACCCTCTTGCCGCACCACCACCATCTCTGGGAAGGCTGCGTTGGCCCCTTCTTGTCTCCCGCTCCCTCTCCTGCCCCTTCTACACAGCAGCCCCAAGGGCAGAGCCACGTCCCACTCAAAACCATCTGTGACCACCACCCGCACATTGTGAGGGGAAGCCCGGGTGTGCAGGCAGCTCAGAAGGCCCCGCGAGACTCGTCCTCGGCTGTGTCTCTGACTTAGTCCTCGCTCGCCCTCTGGCAATGCTAGACTCCAGCCGTTCTTCCCACCTGCTAAGCCCTTCTCACCACGGCTCCTTTGCACTTGAGCTTCCTCCTGCTCTCGGGGGGGCCTCCCTGGCCCCCCCACCTCACCCTCCCCTGCCCAGCATTATTGCCCTTTATAGTACTCTGTCCACCTGACTCCTGTACTTGTTTTGGGTCTTCTCCCTGGAATGCAGACCCAAGGGCACCAACCAGGGGTTTGGCTTTGTTCCTGCCTTACCTGCAGGGCTTGGGGCAACGTGAAGAAAGGAGCAGAGATTACAGAGAGAATGTGACTGAGGAGAAGCGGGGACCAAGGAGAAGGGAGGCTCAGGAAAGAGGGATCCATTGCCTCGTTGGGGGCCTCTGGGGTGTGTCATCTCATCCAGGGTGCTCTGATCCTTCCAGCAGCAAAATCTTTTCTCAAACAAAATCTTAAGAGTGCCACAGCAAAGAGAACAGAAACAGATAGATTATCATACTGGTATAAAAGTATTCTAAATTCGAATTATTACTTGTTCCACACTTAAACAGCCATAAGAGCGAGGTGGTTTGGGACCTAAGGGTGTTAATTCCAGTTCTCTTCTATTTTGTCACATGATTTAGAGAAAATCTGATGTGCATGAAAATTAGTTGGAGATGGCAATTTTAAAAACCAAAATCAGAGGCAGCCTTATTTCTTAGGTTTTGGAGCAATGGCTGACCCGTTTGGCACAAAACACATGTGCCTTTGTGTGGGTGTTCCACCACATTTCTTAGGAGTTAAAATTTCATATTAAAAAGTCACAGTCAGGGTTGCCATCCTCTGAAGGCCCAGGCAGTGTTGCCAAATAAAATACCAGAGCCCAGCTACATTGGAAGTTGGTGTGTTGTTGTTGTTAGGTGTCGTGGAATCGGTTCCAACTCATAGTGACCCCATGTACAACCGAACAAAACACTGCTCGGTCCCGCGCCATCCTCATAATCTTTGCTGTGTTTGAGCCCATTGTTGTAGCCACTGTGTCAATCCATCTCATTGAGGGTTGGCTTCTTTTTCACTGGCCCTCTACTTTGCCAAGCATGATGTCCTTCTCCAGGGACTGGTCCCTCCTGATAACACGTCCAAAAGCACATTAGACAAAGGCTCACCATCCTTGCTTCTAAGGAGCATTCTGACTATACGTCTTCCAAGACAGATGTGTTCGTTCTTCTGGCAGTCCATTCAATATTCTTCGACAACACCATAATTGAAATGCATCAATTCTTCTTCGGTCTTCCTTATTCATTGTCCAGTTTTCACATGCATATGAGACAGTTGGAAATACCATGGCTTGGGTCAGGCACACCTTAGTCCCCAAAGTGATATCATTGCTTTTTTAACACTTTAAAGAGGTCTTTTGCAGATTTGCCCAGTGCAATATGTTGTTTGATTTCTTGACTGCTGCTTCCATGGGTGTCGACTGGGGATCCAAGTAAAATGAAATCTTTGACAATTTCAATCTTTTCTCCATTGATCACGATGTTGCTTATTGGCCCAGTTGTATTTTTGTTTTCTTCATGTTGTGTAATCCATACTGAAGGCTGTGGTCTTTGATCTTCATCAGTAAGTGCTTCAAATCCTCTTTGCTTTCACCAAGCAAGGTTATGTCATCTGCGTATAGAAGCTTGTTAATCAGTCTTCCTCCACTCCTGATGCCTCTTTCTTCCTTTATATAGTCCATTTCTCAGCTTATTTGCTGAACATACAGATTAAATAAGTATGGCGAAAGGATACAGTCCTGACACACACACCTTAAACCACGCTGTATCCCCTTGTTCTGTTCGAACCATTGCCTCTTGGTCCACATACAGGTTCCACACAAACACAATGAAGTGTTCTAGAATTCCCATTCTGTGCAATGTTATCCATAATTTGTTATGATCCACACAGTCGAACGCCTTTGCATAGTCAATAAAACACAGGTAAACATCTTTCTGGTATTCTCTGCTTTCACCCAGGATCCATCTGACATAAGCAATGATATCCTTGGTTCCACGTCCTCTTCTGAATCCGGCTTGAATTTCTGGCAGTGCCCCGTGGATGTACTACTGCAACCGCTTTTGAATTTCGCATGAACAGCGCTAAGTTGTTCCAGCAGATTTGCATTTCAGATATGGGCCATAATTACGCTAAAATCTGTTGACTGTTTTTCTGAAATGCAAACATAACTGGTGGCGGTATTTTTCTCCCCAACATCGACCACTCTACCCCAAGGCTCCTCGTGCCCCAAGAGCGGGGGCCGGGGACGAGCCCGGGGGGCGCGTGGGGCGTGGCGGGGAGGGGCGGGGCG